GTTTACTATTTACATAGTTACTATAATATAATATAATATAATTAACTTATTTTTACAAGGATTTAGGAGTATGTATTTAAGAACAGCCAACACGTGTTTTGTAAAATAGAATAAATGAGCATGCTCGGGAAGAATAGCCTCATACGTAGGTGAGATCTTGTTGATATGTCATCGCTGTCATCTTAGCGTATTTTCTCTTCTTTTGTTTAATCTTGGCATTTTCTGATTCTACCAAGTATTTTTATAGTTTTTCTTGGTGCTGTGCTGTGTCAGTCTATTTGTCGAGTGTTTTTTTCTTCAAGCGGTTTATTATAGACGTACTCTTAACCAGAGTCAAACTTTTCTTGAATGATGTTCTGTTGCGAGGCTACCTCGCTTACATGAAATTATCTTTAATGCGCATGCTCAGTAACATTGATGTAATTTTAATTTATTAATTACTATAAAAATAAATATTGTTCTATAAATTTAAAAATATAAATTCTATAAACCTTTCAGTTTGTCTTGAAACTTCTTAAACATTTCTAATATTGCCAGAATAACGCGATATTTAAGGTCATGACAGAGAAGACATTTTTTGTCACTTATGTCCAAAGTACATAATGTCGAAAATCGATATAGTAAAAATACTAAGAAATTCTTCATGACAATGTGTACTATGGAGTTGCCTATTATTTGGCGTATGTGACGTCACTACTAAAAAAGTATATTGCGAATTAAATTGATTCGATAAAACTCGTCTACTGGCAGGTGTCAAAAAGAAAAAAGAAGAACAGATTATCACTATTGATAACATATTACCGCAGTTAAATCTATTCAACTCTTATGTTTAATAAAACTGTGGAATTGTTCCTTAAATTATATTTTTAGAACGAAACAATGGCTTTGAGAGTAAGATAAAGGTCAAATACTTTTTTATTTCTCATTTCTAACTAATCTCAGCTGACTAATAGCGATAATAAAAATCACCTAGTAGCTCCCTGTCTTCGTCTACTTGATCAATGAGAGGATGATAATATATTTAAATATAGAAGTAATTTAAATTGAGACTATTACTCAAATTCAGGTTTCATTCTTAAAATTAGAACTAAGTATATCAAGAGTCTCATTAAGATCCCACTTAACACAAGATGACGCGCATTAAATGGCATTTAATAATACAGTGTGTCCGTGCATGTGATTGGCTAGAGGGAAGACATTTTTTTTTGTTACAAAATTTATTGTGCACAAAAATGTAGTTTTAAGTGAGCCAACACGCAAGCAGCCTTCTATTAAGAAACTATTAGAAATATGTGCTCAAAAATAGTATGCTTTTTCTGAATAAAAAATGGGATGGAATATTGGAGGTGGTCATATAATGAGGAGAAAAATAAATTCAAATACTTAGCTAGTGTTAAGGTAAACAGACAGAAACTTATTCAAAACTAGAATACTTTGTTCTGATATATACAAAACATAACACATACCAATCAATTTTGTATGTGCTTGTGTAATTAATTAATAATTAAACTCATTAAGCTATGATTATGATAAGACCTCTTAATTGATAAGGTTCTCCAGGAGGTAGATTCTTGATGGTGAGAGAATAGAATGCTCCCTTCAAAGGGATCGAGTCATGAAAGTGAAGAACGAGGAACAATGTTATCAAATGTTGTGACCAATCAGAAAGCAGTCATGAAATAAGTGCTACTTTGTTTAGTGTTATTGTTTTTTGTTTGTCAATTATCTCTATTTATAGATGGTCGTACCCTCTATATATTTCTGTACTTGTACTGACTAAAAAGAAAAATGTAAATTAATAAAAAAAACCGAAACCAAATCCAGTTATTGCTGACGTTCTTGTGCCCTTGGATGTGCGGTTGGACAAGTTCTATAATGTCCCGGAAAAGAGGCTTAGAGAGCCGAAAACATTTTATAAATTTTTGATTAGATAACATAAATGGATCTGTCCCCGAGGTAGAACTTCTCATCGAATGTTCAGCAGTTCCTCGCCTTCATCAACATTGTTGATTATTTCATCCCACATTACTATTAGTCAATCCATTTTATTCTAAGCGAATGCATTAACGCGGATGTTATTGCTATAAATACACTTATATAATTCTCTATGTAAACACAAATTATACGAACGCTTTCTCGAAGTTCCGGAAGATACCACCACAAAATAGTAATTAGAGATATCACAGATAGAGAGATATATTGCGGAATTCGTAATTTGTGAAGTGTATGCCATAAAATATGGGGTTAGCTTTAATAATCTCTGCCTGTTCCCCCACATACGCCCCCCGAAAATATCAGTAGAAGCAACAGGGAACAATTATTGTTCTATCATTACTCAATAGAACACCATTTAAGAATACCGATTAATGAGTTTTAGTAGACACGCTCCCTTTTCTCATTCCTTCTACTCCCTATAATTCAGGAATATAATTAGGAATAAATATATAAATAGGTCCTAGGAATAAAATTATAGGTCTGGATGTTATAAGTTATTTATTAGCACCAACGTAATAACAAACGTAAACAAGAATAAAGCAAAAACTATACTGTACCTATGGTCTCGTTGAGATCCTTTAAATACAGTTAAATTATAGACATCAGCATTTTTGGATTACGATGAGGTGACAGCAAATGCGACCTGCTAAGTTGTAATATATCGCCCTCTCTCTCGTACAGATCTCTGACTGCCGAGTTAATCCTTGGAATTAAAAGGAGAGATAGCAATATTAACAATAATACTATTATTATTCTTTCAAATGCCAATAATTTCAAATTTCTTTCACTTATACTTTTCGAAACTATATGAACAAAATTTACCTAGTTTTCCTCCACGGTCTAGTGGACCAAGACTTCTAAAATTTGATTGGCAACACTTTGTCATGTCCAATATTATTGTTACTATTACAGTGGCTATATACAAGACAGTGGCGACAATAGCGACTAAACCCCGCCCATCCGCCACGGTGTATCCAATGTCAAATTGAAAGTAACTTTTATAAAAAATAAATTAAGTACAAAAGTATTTTTCTTTTAAATTTTACGCACAGATTTTAAGCAAATAACTCCCTTGGAAAGTGATTTTAAATAATGAATGAATATAGAATCTACTTGGGCAATAGGGGAGGATAAATATATGTATAATAATAACAACTATTGGTTTATATTTTCTAGGCAAGTAAATTTATGCATATCTACATTACATAATGAAATATATTGGGTTTACATTACAAAAACGAATACTTAGTACTAGTGATAGTATTTGTTACCATAAATGTCCAGCAACACTTTTACTTGCAAGCTTTTTGCATGCTTTTAGGCATTTTTTGGAAACTATTTTTAAACATAATAAATCTTTTAACAATTTTATTTTTGATCTGATGACAATTTGATAGATCTAAATTTAAACCAGACATTTCTTTTAAGAAACGTCCATCTGCAAGAAGAAACAAAATACCGCTTCATTGCAAAAAAATACTGAATGTTCTCTAAATCTCTTAAGTACGCTAAATTTTGAACATGTTTTATAGATCGGCGTTTTATAACCAACAGCATGCATACAGTTTGTACAAGTTATTGACATTTTAACGATACTTTGGTCAATATATCCGCACACATTATAAAGATAATTTAGTTCACTAAAACTAAGATTAAATAGTTCTTCTATGTTAGCAGGAACCTTAACTTCCTTATAAGTAGGTCTTATATTTTTTGTTATGGTATCCAAAAAGCCTGAAAGAAATTTACGATCGTCGTCCTCTTGAAGCTTCTGCAGACATTATAACTATCCCTTAGCTAGTATCACTAGCTATCACCAAAATTAAAATAAAACAATACAAATATTGAATAACACCATAAGAACGCTCCTGACACCATGACATATCACAGATGAATTTGACACTGGATGCAACATGGCAGCTAATATCACGTGGACCGATTAAAAATGATACACTCTATTGTCGCCACTGTCTTGTATAGAGTCACTGTAGTTACTATGAGCCGCGCCTTTGCGATGTCATTTTTATTTGACATTCTTTTATATTAATGTTTTGTATATAATTTTAACCCGAATCATCCATCCAAAACAAGTTTCGCGCATCAATGGATGCAGATAAATTGTTGTCCAGTTCCAAGTCTGAAGTAAAAGCCGACGGAGTATCTGTGAAATATAATTTTAATATTCAAGTAAATGAACCGAGTCGGGAGCTGTCAAGTGTCAAAAGTAAATGGTTAGATGAGAAAATCGGTTCCGCCACTAACACGAAAGTCAAGAAGCGTGTAAGGAGGAAGAGGAAAATCTACGTATATGTGCCCAAGGAAAGTTGAAACTTGCCAGTTTGTAAACATTTCGAGTGTAATATCGTTTTCTGGTATTTTTTCTCTTTATGCTTCAGAAAGAAATTGATAAAGTTGGTACACAGATTTTAGAAAACCAGTGGTAGTAGTAGTGTTAAGGGGAGAATTTTTACAAAATCTGTCGCTTTTGTCAGTCGCACACAATCCTGCTCGTGCTTTTCTTTAAATAGTTGAGGTATTGTTTTAGTAGTTAAAAAATGAGTTATATGTAAGAGGAAGTTCGTTTCGATCGCATCGCGGTCTCCTGAAATTATTTGGAAAAGATCGCTGGAGAACGATCGATGGAGCGAGACGAGCTCGGGAACGTGTAGTGTGAATGCATACATTATAAACCAAGGGGAGGAACTCCACCGCGCGCAATCGAGACTCGTACTTACGGTCCTCTCCTTTATATCATTTATATAGCTGTAAAAAATAAAACGTCAGGTTGTGGGAATTGCAATGTAAGATTTAATCTTTCAAAACATTCTACCTATAGATGTATAATCTACCTACCTTTGAAAAATATAAAACCCATTTTTTTTATTTAAATGGCGATTTGTTTGTATTAAATAAAATTCCAGCATCTAAATTATTCTCTTATTATCTTTCCGAGATTTGAAGATATAAAAATTTGTAAATTAATATTTCTTTCTTTTTTATTACAGAGAGGACCCCATGAAGTAAAATTTGGACTAATTTCTCCTCCTACAAAGTACGGTTTAAAAGTAAGTATTAGGTACATCATTTTCATTATAGAAGATATTTTTCTATTTATTTAAATGTTCTGTTTATTTTTCTAATTGTTTCTAGTGATTATTCTATCTAAATATAAGCGTATCCTTGAAACTCATCATTATTTTATTAATAATTAATTTAAGAAACCTGTTTGAAAAGTTTACTATAATAGTTAGAGCGAATTTTTGTTTGTAATAGCAAGGAGAGTGTGATTTTC